ATGTTCTGCGCCAAATATAAAATCAATCAAATTATTGCATGATAAAAGGATGGTCGTGATTTCTTGTTCATTCAATTGAAATAGCTCGAGATGCTCTATATTTGGGCAACATCTAATGATAGTATCGAGAATTCGCTCTTTTGGAAATGGAATGTTGTCGTTCATTGGTGAGTGTATTTTGAGGTATCGTAAATTCCTGTTAGCTGTTTCCAAAAATCCAGCTATGAAATCCACAGGAACTTGATTGTAGTATTCGTCAATTGAGAGGAAATGTAGTTTATAGAAAGCTCTTGACAATGGTTCAGTGATTTCATCGCCTAGATGAAATGATCCTTTTAGAATCAATGAACGCAAGTTCTCGCAGGCAGCCAACGCAGAAACCGACGCATCGGAGAGAATACCGAAATTGACACCTAGCAATTCTAAATTCTGGAGGTTGTTAACGTGATGTGTAAGAGAAGCAAAGACAAGCGACAAATCTCCATAATAACGCATTAATTTCAAATGACAAAGACAATTTTGCGATGACATCAATTGAGATAGTGCGACAGTTTCCTCACTTGATACTTCTGACTGTAGTCCATCAATCGACAAATATTTGATTTCTCGACATTGTCCAATTAATCGTTTCAAGAAATTCGTTTTGTCAAAAGTACCACCTAGCACAAGTTTATTCAATTTCAACAAGACTGAATCATTTCCTTTGACATCCGGCAACGAGAAAGAAATCTGACTCCGCCATCTGCTTCCGACATCAACACCCACTTCAATGTTAATACTACGAAGGGTACCACACTGCCCAAGAAATCCCTTAAACAATTCTTGTACAATAAGTAATGCATGTTGTCGTTGTTCTTGAGTCGAATCAATAAACTGGTTTTTGACGAGTCTTAATCTGTCAATCGCAGTATCATGTGGTGCACACCATTGCAACGCCGATATTTCCAAGTTTGCGTTATCAATGTGTCTTGCGAACGAGAGATAATTGAACACTGGTATTGGAGTGTAGCCCACGTCCACACCATTATCTAGTAAATAATTTATTTGTGCTTTTGAAAGACACGATAAGTACACGGGAATTATCTTGAAACTTGGTGAACGCTCTAACGGGCGTCTCCATAGTATCGGCGCTACTATTTGACACCATGACCGACAGACGAGCAGACAAGAGAGCAGCGTTTTCTCTCGTGATATTTCTTCAAATATTTGTTGAAAATTTTCAAATGCTAAGCTTAAAATCATTTTCATTTATTTATTTTTTCTAAAGAATATAGAAATAATTTTTGTAGAAACTTTCAGCAGCATACATGTAACCGTGAGTGAAAAAATAATAAAATAATAAAATCATGTTGTCGTCACATATAAATATGTGTAATGTACTGTACATTGTACCGTGTGCATGTAATGACTTTAACGTTAAGAAGCACCTGAATAGAAATTACCTTATTTAGCTCATATCAAGATTTTAGTGTTGATCATTTAGCGCAGTAAAAAGTCTATTTTTGATGTAATCGTTTAATCACAAAAACGATAAAATACATGTACATTATCGATATGTATTATAATATTCTTAAAAAGAGTGTAAATATAGTTTTTAATTTTAAAAAAGCCTTATAGTAGTACTACTAAACAGAAATATCTAATTCAATCAAATTTACACAAAAAAAATCATTATTGAAAAAAAAATACATTAAAAAGGTAGACAATTCAGTAATGTGCTCCAAATGGAGGATTTTTTTGAAATTAATATCTTTACTTCATCAGTTAGTATTCGTCAGAATAATTCCAGGGTTATTTAAAAAAGTAAAATAAGGAAGTTTTATTTTTATTAGAGTTGTTCTAATTGTAAAAAAGTTTTTACATAATTAAATTACTATGAATTTCCAATTAGAACAATAAGTTTAATAAAAACTTTTCAGGTGTGATCGAGTCAGAATTAGAATAGACTAGACCGAATTGTCAATCCTCACGACAGGTTTTTGCAACTAGTTAATTTTCTCAACACTTATACAAATAATCTATTGTCAGATCCGAACTCAGAATAGCCGTATTTCTTTGACAACAATATATTTGTCGATAAAAAATTGATATGAGAAATTTTTATGAAGCGTAAATTGTTATCGTTATACGTACGTAATTAACTAGGTTGTACGTTACCGTACAGTTCTTTTTTTGTTAAGCATATAAATTTATTAATTATATTTATTTTTTGCCAAGACAAATTCACCATTTACGTTTACTCCACCCGCCCATCTATATCCTATTCCTTCTCTCTCACGGGGAACTTTTCGAACAACTTCATCCGCCAAAGTCTGATGAAGAGAACGATCTTCAGTCCAGTACCTATTAAATCCAAGAGACTCATTATTATTAGGAAAATGTTCGTCATAACACGCATCAATGAGTCCGTCAAGGAATAGCTCAAGTGATTCATCATCAAAAGGACGTTTTGAACAGTTTGGAAACAAATCTTCGATTAATTTGGAATATGAGTCCTGATCAGTATATTCGTAAATTATTCTGTTCTTTGCATTCTCTAAATATTGGAGAATATTTTCGAGAGTATTGATATCGTCCGGAATCCAGCACAGAAAATCGTCAGTACTGTAAGTTTTAAATTCCGGATATTTATCAACATATTGGTTGACTTTATTGGCCCATGCCTCCCTCCCTATTGATGATAATCGAAGTCTTGACAGATTACTAATCAACGTATATTGTTCCAAGCGAGACATTGAATCGTCAAGAAATATGTCTCGAACTATTTCTCTGGCTTCATTTGGTGTTTGTGCTTTTGCGAGATCCGATAAGTGGCATCGGATTGGTGTGGTTATTTTTACATCTTTAAGAACTTTAATAAATTTTTCAAATTGTTTGTGTGCACTTTTTTTTTGTGGTGAAGGAGGAAATTGTAGGGTTGGATATTCTGGATCTGGATGATCTTCTGTCATTAATCTAATTTCTGATGTTCCAAAAAATAAATAAAATGAATGAATGGTTTATTATAAGTGATGTGGGTACAATTGATTTTATAGTACATGTACTGTACATGTTCTTTTTATGGAATAACACATGTATGACATGTAATACGGGAAATTTTATTGTTATTCGAAATATTTATTGGCTTTTTAATTTTCGAAAAAAATATGAACATGTATTTCGTTTCATACGATAGCGAACCAGTTTAGTGCATGCAGCTTAAGACCAGTACGTAATAGTAGTAACGGCAAATGCTAGCTTTCAATTATCGTTATTGCTACCGTTATTATAATTTCTCCAAACTTGCCAAATATGAATTAGCGCAACGGAAATGGAGTTCAATTATCTGTTATTTAATACAGCGACTCGCAAAAGAAGCGAAAAGCGAAGTTCACGAAAAAAATTATAGTGCCGCTAACATCGATTAAATATATCTGATTTTTATACTCATTTTATAGCTAATGACCTAGAGAATGTCTAAAAAATATGTTAATATTGCCATTCTAAAAGAAATTAAATGATCTACATGAATATTTTAATTAGTGAAATTTTAACTTCAGTTTTGTTATCGAAAAGGATTGATCTAATGTGCTTCTTGATGAAAACTATTTACATACCAATTTTCATCTAAATTGGTACCAAATTCGTTTAATTATTAGATCCCGAAATATCAAAAGAAATATTTGTATTATTTTTACTAGTATTAGTCTGATATTTCAAAATCTAATAACTAAACGAATTTTACAGAACATTGGTATGTAGATAGTTCTCATCAAGAACTTACACCTTTATTAGGTAATCCTTCCCGATGACAAAACTGGTTGAAAGTTAAACTTAATTAATTAAAAATATTCGTATGAACCACTTAATTTCCTAAAATAGGAATTTTAATGTATTCATTAGACATTTTTAAATATTCTCTAGGTTATTAGCTTAAAATGAGTATAGAAACCGGGTGTATTTAATCGATATTGGAAACGCTAGATTTTTTTTGTAAAACTTTTCATGTCCGCTTTCATAAGTGAGCCAATGTACCTTTCGTAATGTTAAATCCACTCAATATCACGATCTTGTCGAAGGAATTATCCAAATAACTATGCTATGCTATAATTCTGAATTTAATTATTTGATAACAATAAATAAGTTTATTTAGCATAAATTATGGAAAAGCAGTAGGAATGAAATATTGGTCTAAGCGAAAAGTTGAATTTTAAAAGCCTGACCATAACTTTATATTAACACTTGAACAATATTGACGAGAAAATATTGGATATCGCGACGACTTGGGAGAAGTGAATCTCTTGACGTAACGACTTTTTAACCGGAGCAAAGTATCGTTATAAAGAGAGATTATTGTATTTGTATACTCAAGGTTTTGTATCGAAATTTTGCAAGTAGCCTATCGTTATCGATACTTTATACATGTGCATGCGTTTGTGCATACTTAACTTCATACCAATTCTGAAAATTCACGCTAAAAAATAAAAAATTAAAATGACGACCGAATTATTATTGATTTCACATTCAAACAAATCGGTTAAATTTTACGAAAAGGGCAATTTTTTGTGATATCTCGATAATTGTTGTGGTGGAGGTGATTACAGACCTTTACCGGCGCAATCCCATATTTTGCCGTCAGACTTTCTGATACGTGGGTGAAACGAGAATCAAATATTTTGCCGTGCATTCTTGAAATCTTATTGAGGTAAATATTTATGACTTGTATACAATATGAGACATATAAATAAAATTTATTTTATGATATATCATACTCTTTGATTTGAATAATGTATTAGCTATCTTTCAATATCTTATAAATATCGTATTTAAGCTATATCTTGAAAAGTTTATAGTATTTATTTAGATATAACGTATTTTTAGAAAATATATGAATATCTAAGAAAAATATTTGATAAACTTAGAGAAAGTAATTTATAACTTTAATCTAATAAGTATCACTTTGACAAATCTATACTTATTTTTCATGATTATGTCACTGATAAAATTTTTTATAAAGTTTAAGTTTTTAACTATCTTTAACTTAACTTCTGTATGAATCTCTTGTTAATATCTTACTATCCTGTATGAATTTTTTAATAATTTATAATATATAATAGAAAGATTATAACTTTCATCTTTTACTATATTAATAAGTTTGATCATGTTTTTCATAAATATTTTGAATTTATTTTTGCTATAATTCAATCAAATAACTAATATATATATATATAGAGTATGATATAAGATATAGTGAATAGTATTATAATAACTATATTTACTGTTTTTAAGTTATAAGATTATTTATTTATAATTGTAAATAAAATAAAATGTAAAGTAAATAGTTTCAATTTATAAATACTTATGATTTTATTATTTAAATAATATTTGAATCTAAGATTAAATTAAAGAATAGAAGTAACTTATTTTTACATAATAAAATAAATATAAAGTATAAATAAATTAATTATATATGAGTTTAATATAATTAATAAATTTAATTTATATCTTCAGAAGATAATGAACTATAATCTAATAAATTAATAATAATTTTAAATAATATAAATAAGAATAAATAAGAATAAATAAAAATATAAAAAATAAATTAATAATAAAATCAATTAAAAAATATTAATTATTTAAATTAATAATTAAAAAATACATAATGATTATCTATATAATAATATATTAATTAAATATATAATAATTATCTGTATTTTCAAAGTAAAATTGATCTTTAAAACAAGTAATATTAAAGATAAAATATAATATAATAGTATAAAATAAAGATCTAAACTAAAATAAATTTAATTCAATTAAAATTATTATATAAAGTATATATATAATAAAGATATTATTAATTAAAGTTTAATAAAAATCTTATTATTATTTTATCATATTATTAAATTAAATTTATAAATATTAATTTTAATATATATATATAAAATAATAATACTATATTTTATTTTATAGAAAAAAATTAAATTTTCAGATCTAAATTATTTAAAACTTTTAAATAATTAATCTTACTTAAAAATTAATTTATTATATTTAATAAATACAAAAAATTTTAGATTAAATAAAAAAATATAAATTTTTAATATTAAAAAATTATCATAAAATACTATATACAGTGGCAATCAAAAATAATGCAACACTTAAATTTTTTACTAATTATAATTAGTAAAATACGTATTTTTCCT